ATCGAGGGATGGATATAGCATGGATGAACGATTTAGTTAATGGTTTGATGCATGGGAAGGAATATGGGAAGGAATGGGATGGATTTGGTGAAAGGTGCCGATTGGCATGGATCCGATGGATTGATCAATTGGATGGCTTGATGGGAAGGATTGATGGGAAAGATAGATGGATGGGCGAGTAAGTGAGTGTTAGAAGATTCCTATCTCTCAGTCAGTACATTTCGAAATATTTTTTGTGTGAGAAAACAATGTTAAAATCCTCCCTTTTCGATGTTCTTTTTCTGTCCCTTGCAAGCTTATCGCACAGCATTCAGAGTAAAAATACGTCTAAATGACCTCGGAAGGCAATAAGACCCCCATATATTGATAAGTTAACATGAAAATATATTTACTGAGGATATTTTTTTACAATGACACGATCTTTTAATACTACTCTTATTTAAGCCTCAAGTACAGTGCTTGGGCTGCCTGTGTAAAAAACCTCCTTGAACGCCTGTCTACACAAAGGAAGCACAAAAGCAATGCAAGCCCAGTTTTGCTGTTCGCTATCATCACCCAAAGGCAATAAAAGACTAACTAATTTCCCTTGCTTATTTTGCTTACCTGGAGTCTTTAGCAACGTTTAACCTTAGATCTATCTTAGTTCCTACCAAAATATTCGCAGAGTCAGGAGAGTAGTGTCTAATTTCTGGTATCCATCTGTGCTCGATATTCTCAAACGAATTTCTGTTTGACACATCAAAACAAACCAAGAATACATCTGTATCAGGATAAGACAGCGGCCTTAGCTTAGCGTAGTCCTCCTGCCCGACTGTATCCCAAAAACCAATAGTGTACACACAACCATCAACAAGAGTGTCGTAAGCACTGTCAGTAAACACTCTAGGTGTAGATTCAAACGGGAACGAGCCGTGCTGACGCGAGATAAGCAGGGAAGTTTTCCCAACAGTGCTGTCTCCAACAATAACTAGCTTAAAACAATGCATTTTGTTTGCGAAAGAATTAACTTTTCTCTTCCAAATCGTGTTTACAGCAGTCCTACTGTTTTACTGCAGTCCTACGTGCCTCACAGTCATGGTTTTTATAGGCACATGCAGTTAAAAATAACCAGCCAATCAGGGCAGCGACATGTCATTCTAATAAGTTTGTTTTCTGTCACGCAAGCAGTGGTCTACAGCTAAAACACACACACACACACAGTTTCAAGATACGATTTATTTCACTGATGATATTTATCAATTATTTTTCGAACTTCATTTTCCGAACAGTATTAAAAATATTCTCATTGACAGCGTGCATTTAGTCACACTATTGAATAGCTAGATAAATTTATCTAACTTAGGCCTAGGGCAAAAGACAAACTTTCCATGCACCGAACTCATTAAAAACAATGGATATCAGGTGATAATGAGGCGGCATTCTTTGATGTAATTAAATTCGGTGCATGGAAAGTTCGACGTTTGCCCTAGGCCTAAACTATTTAGTTGACGTCACATAGAAGTGCATGCCACTGATAGATTACTGCAATAGCCTGCTATATGGTCTCCCAGAGTATCAACTGTGTACCAAATTGTGTGAAGTCAACTAAAAATTCAAATCAATTTCGTTTTCCCTTGACATAAATATGCTTTTCATCTCAACTATAGCAACTCATGTTGTTTTGGCTCTGAGTTTGTAAAAACGTCTTCCTACATTTGACAAATATATATATATATATATATACACACACACTCGATTGCAGAAACGTTGTAGTATACATATATACATTTATACAAATACCTAATGGATGCATATTGCAATTTTACTTTTTTAACCCTCAAAACCAATTGATTTATAATCTGTAGGATGTGAAACACGAGAATAAAATATTTTGACGTTCATTGAATGAAACAAATAATAAATAAAGCGAGTTTTCTGTTTTGCATATCGTTAAATATACTGAATAAATTAGGTATTTGTATAAATGTATACTACAACCTTTCTGCAATCGAGTGTATATATATATATATATAATTGTAAAAACAACAAGTAAACAAGCAAACAAACGCAATGATGGAAATTTGATGCTTAGTTTTCACTAAAAAAGTTTTGTTCAGTTAGAAAACATTGAATTTTCATCATCTTTTGTTTCTTTGCTTGTTTTTTGCTTTGTTTTTGTTTGTTTGTTGCTTCATGCGACCTAACATGTCACCCTTTCCTGGCCCTGTCACACTGTGAAACGCGCAATGTTGAACGCCAATTGCACGTAATTGCACCATGAGTGCCCATTCTTGCAACTGTTTTGTGCAACAACTGTAAAGTTTCATATGCTGTGAACAGTATTGCTGCCGATGGTGTAATGTGCTCAACCGGGCCGGATGCAACTTTTTTCGTGTACCACAGGCCAGAATTATTCTAACTATGTTTGAAGTACTTATTTATCGCAGAAAATGGTGCTCTATGCATCATGCCGGTCCGAGTCTTCACAGCCATGCAGCCAGACCTACTACATGATGCTGCATTTGCCTTTTTTACTGGTGTGGCCTACTTTCTTTTCGAATTCTTGTACTTCATTGAGATAGCTCAAGGGAGGCCATCTGTGTTTTTCGACGTACTCTATATTGGTTCCTTGGACAAGGGTGAAGGAAGGATTCGACTCGAAGATCAGGTAATTTGTTGCTATGAAGTGTAGACACCAGTTGCTGAGCTGATGGGCATTGTGAGCCTGCAAATATAATAAAATAAAAGCTAATTTCTGTGAAGTTAGCCTGACTTCAATTAGGCTACAGATCGATTTAGTTGGTCAGTTCATGGTTCTGACTCAGACAATAGCAAATCATCAACATTGCAGTACTTTTTCCAAGATTATTAAATTCAAAATAAAAACAACTGCGCAGTATCTACAAGGATTAAGAGGCAATTTTCTTTTTCATTTTCGCAGGACAGTAGACTGTTGAAACAATTCATAATCAATTTTCCGCAACCAGTTTTAAATTCTGAGATATTCTAGATAATGTGTTGAGCTTGTGGGACATAGCAACGGTAACTAAGGGAGACGGAGCGTTGAGTTGTGCGTCAACGCAATCTATCCAAACCGAGTTGGATGAGAAAGAAAAACAATAAAAAGGCAATAGTAGATGTCTTGACTTTTATGGAAAGATGAAAACTAGTGAATCCAAAGAAATCCCTCAGCGCAGGAGAGGATCAACAAACAACTGTAAAGGTGAGCACTGGAGAGGTTAATCAGAGAACGTTTTTGTACCGGGTTTACCATCACAACAGCACAAACAACCGACGCGAGGGGACTTGGTGTGATGCACGCACGTGTGACATGTACATTTCAACACAAAGTGATCACTACGTGAATAATTTCCAAAGCAACAAAAAACGATGAATTAGTTCGTTACAGGAGCAGTCGTAGCTCAGTTGGTATAGTGCGCGGCTTTCAAAGTTTACTTAAGGCGCGATTGTACGGAGCAATTTTCTTTGCAACTTGCCTTGCGACAAAAGTTGCAATGTAAAATTGCAGCGTGTAACCTACAGCGCAATTTAAAAAAAAATTTGCGAGATAACTTGCAGCAAGTTGGCAACAATTGAGGCTCCATCGTTTTTCGTTGCTTTGGAAAATATTCACGTAGTGATCACTTTGTGTTGAAATGTACATGTCACACGTGCGTGCATCACACCAAGTCCCCTCGCGTCGGTTGTTTGTGCTGTTGTGATGGTAAACCCGGTACATAAACGTTCCGCTCTGATTAACCTCTCCAGTGCTCACCTTTACATTTGCTTGTTGATCATCTCCTGCGCTGAGGAATTTCTTTAATTGGATTTACTAGTTTTCTTCTTTCCACAAAAGTCAACGCATCTACTATTGCCTTTTTACTGTTTTCCTTTCACATTCAGCTCGGTTTGGATAGATCTAGATTGCGTTGACGCACAACTCATGGCTGCGACTCCCTTAGTTAACGTTGCTATGTCCCAAAAGCTCAACACATTATCTAGAATATCTCAGAATTTTGTCGCAAAGCAGTTACGGGACAAGCTGTAGAGAAAATTGCTCAGTGTAATCGCGCCTTTAGTGCTCAGATCCTCAGGACCGATCTTCAGGATCTCAGGATCTCCACGTCTCTCTGTTCTGTGTTGCTTAAGCATTATTTAAATATCCGTAATAAGGAGCACTTTTAGTCTGAGGGAGTAAAGTGCGCAGCTTCTTCTTGCGCTTTATACATGAGTCCTTGGACCGGGAGAATTGGGCAACCATTCCCCCACGTTATTAGTCGAAGTTAAATAAATATTTTTACCAGTTTGAAAAGACAATATCAAATTTAGAATAGCTTGATTTTATTTACCTGAGACAACAAGAGCAGATTCACCACATACTCAGCCCCGTCACTAACTTTTTTCTCGATCATTTTATCAACCTTCTTAGTGATGTATAGCTCGCATAACGTAACCAGGCGAGGAAGACAGAACCTGTCTGCTAATACCATGATGTCTATAGCATCTCCTTCTTCTATCGGAGCGTGGTCCGTGTACAGGTACTCGAGAATAGCCAAGAAGCTTTCCAGACTGGCTTCTTTGATTTCAGTCTGTTGGAGTGGAATACAAAAATATGGACATGTTTTCAACTTTTAAAATTGATTTGCAAAACTAAAAAGTCACTAACGCACCATACTATTCTTTTATTTCAGAATCGCATGTTTTACATGCGATTCTGAAATAAAAGAAATAGCACAAATTATGCAATAAAGAGTGTGACTAACTTTTTGTTGTTGTTGTTGTTGCTTTTAGAGTCACAAGATAATTTTGGAAACATATCTAAAGACCTTGTGCAAAAAGCCATATAAAGGAACATGTCTTTCCACTTCATTGCTGAAGTCATCATAGTATTCAACAAACTTGATTACTTACCTCTGACGAGTTTCTGCCTTCCATGAAAGCCCCACCCAACATGGCTGCCATGACGTCACAGCGAGCCATCAGGACGGCTTTGTGCGCGTACACGAGTTTCCCTTCGACACGAGTAGTATAGGGAATGGGGGTTCCAGCGCAATCTCAACACGGGGTAAGACCCGCGTCAAAAATCCACCTACGGACGACCCCCACTCCAAGTGTGGTTGAGGG